AATGTCCTCGCCCGCGGTCATGTCAGGATGCTGCTCGCACTCCCCTTCTCCTTCCTGCTCCACGTCGACCACGTCGAAGGTGACCATGGTGGGGAGGGCAGGGAGGTTCTGGGTGAAGGAGGAGCCCGAGGCCGAGCTCCCCAGGCTTTCAGACAGGGGGAGAGGGGGGCCCCGCTGCTGGCGAACCCCCCCAGCGCCTGCGAGAAGCTCACGGCGTGCTCGGGCTCGCTGCCCGCCGGGGGCTTGCTGCTGGAGCTCTCCTCTCCACCACCATCCTCGTGCTCCGGGAGCCTGTAGCCAGGGAACATCCCTGCTTTGGCCGGGGCTACGCCGCCGTGGATGGAGCCCCCAAACAACCCACAGTCTGGGTCTGGCTCGAACCCCGTGTTGTTCTTCATGAGCTGAATAAGGCAACTTCCAGCTTTTTGGCTGTTGTAACAGTTTTCTGGACACAGGGTCCCTGGAAAATCCCTCCACTCCGGATTTTCAGCTCTAGCCACCGAACCCCCGCTGCTCCCCGCTCTGTTTGGGGCGTGCGAAGCCACCTGCTCACTACCAAGGCCACTCTGATTCTTGCCACTTGAGCTGGCAGCTCTGGTTTTACATTCAACACACTGCTTCTCAAGAGGACACTTCTCCTTGCTGGAAGCATCAAGTCGTTTCAAGACCGGTTCCCTCTGCAGCTCCCAGTACAGCAGCTCTTTCTGAATGGCCGCCAGCCCCTCTTCTTCCATTTCCATCACCCCCCTTTTCTGGTCGATCATCTGGAGCAGGCTCTTCTCAGCAGGGAGGCAGAAGTCCAAGAAGTAGCTGAAGATCCCGGGACGTGAGATTTTGCTCTCAAACAGGGATTCCTCCCCGTGAGAGGGGCTCATCAGCGTGTCGAACTCATAAAGTGCATCACCGCTGTAACTGTCCCGGGGAAGACGATCCTTCTTGAGCTCACTCAGCCCATCCCCGGCTTCGTCCTCCGGCCCCGGCGTGGTGGAGTCGTAGTAACCCTCGTCGCTGTTAGGAGCAGACTCTTGCTGGTCGCTCTGTGGTGTCAGGAGGTCAACACCATCCATCGCATCCCGTATGTAGGGGTGGGCTTCAGCCTCATGCGAGGCGTGGGTCTCCAGGCTGCTGCTCGACACCTGGGCTCCGTAGCTGCTGTCCCCTGCCACGTTGCTGCTCCACAGCTGGTGGAGGTACTCCTCTGCCTCCTCGGGTATGGCCATCTCCTCCCCACCGCCCTGGTAGGTGACGAGGCAGGAGCTCCGCTTCGCAGCCTCTCTGCTGCGCTCCACAGGGATGCTGCTCTCGGCGATGTCGGGCTCGGCGATGTCGTCTCCGCACCCCGTCAGGGAATCGAAGCTCTTCAGGGAGGTGGCATCTCCCAGGATGAGGCTCAGCAGGTCCCCGGAGTTG